ACTATTTTTGTTGACCTTTGTCCATGGAAGGTCCCTGCAAAATTTCATTGAAATTGGTTCAGGGGTTTTGGAGAAGAAGTCGAAAATGTAAATTGTTTACGGACGCACAACGGACGACGGACGACGACGGACAAAAGGCGATCGCAATAGGTCACTTGAGAATTTGTCTCAGGTGACCTAAAAACAGGTGTCAGTAAAGTCAGGTTTCTCTGTATAGATGATAATAAATCAATGAGTTGCCCACACTGACCCTTTTTGAAGATCTAACAAAAATTAAATCTTACTCAGATCTAGGGCACAAAGAGGTTCATCCCAGATGCTATTTTTATGTAAAACACAAGTCCCAGAAAAAGTGGTTATGTAACCGACCCCCTGTTTGTATCTATGGCATGTATTCCCCTCTATAACCCTGTCCCTGGACCCCTCCCAGATCCTGTCACATCCCCTTCTTTTACCCCTTACCTGTACCTTTTATGATCCTTCCTGATATATCCCTCTATGACCCATATACCAGTCATTGACCCTCGCCTCTTTGATACTTTTCTATAACCCCCTTCCCATACCCATCATTGACCCATGCACCACTCTACAACCCATGTACCAGTCTTTGACACCATCCTCCTTTCGTACCTCTCCATAAACCCCCTTCTCATACCCTTCTGTAATCCCCTCCCCATACCCATCTATGACCCTACCACTCTATAATTCCTCTACCCATACCCTTTCTTGATCCCTTTCCTTGTACACCTCTATGACCACCATATTCATATCACTCTATGACCCTGTACACGTCTATGAACCTCTACCTATACCCTCCGTGATCTCTTTCTGTGTACACCTCTATGAACCCCTACCTATACCCCTCCGTGATCTCTTTCTGTGTACACCTCTATGACCCCCTACCTATCCCCCGCTGTGATCTCTTTCATTGAACCCCTCAATGATCCCCTACCCATACCCTGCCATAATCTCTTTCCTTGTACACCTTTATGAATGCCTACTCATACCCCGCCATGATCCTTTTCTGTGTACACCTCTATGAACCCCTACCCATACCCCTCTATGACCCTGTACACCTCTATGAACCCCTTCCCATACCCCTCTATGACACTGTACAACTCTATGAACCCCTTCCCATACCCCTCTATGACCATGTACACCTCTATGGACCCTTTCCCATACCCCTCTATGACCCTGTACACCTCTATGACCCCCATACTTACATTGTCTCCCCTCCACACCTTGAGGGTTCTGTCCTGTGATGAGGTGTACAGGAGGTCTGTTCCACCCCACTTGACACAGGTTATAGACTGTAGATGACCAGACAGGGTAAGTGTACACTGGAACAACACTGTATCCCAGATCTTGATTGTCCCATCCTACAACAAAACAGTTACAGCAATCAATGATTAGTACTGAGTAATTCCATCAAAAGTTTGTTACCGAGATCCTGGTGGTAACATACATGATTTAACACAACACTAAACCTCGAGTTATTCCCATTATTTATTCCTATAACTACGGACAGGTCATTGAAACAACAGTCAACATAAGCAATGTCTGTTGTAAGCAGAATCTCTCATCCAGAAACGTCAATTTCTACACTGATATTATATAGGTTGAATATTACTTTGTTATAGTTTTAATGTTTTATCAATCCATGTTTTACCTTATGACATCAATAAAAATGTATATTTGAATCTTATTTTTTTTGCCCTTTTCACCTCTGAACAAGACAGAGAAGTCAATGTGATGTCAAACAATGTAATCCTCTGACAATAAAAACGAAGTGAGCTGGGGCTCACAGAAATATATTATAATACTGCTGCCACTATAAGTCTCCATCTTTACATGAATACAGTTATGAAGAAAAAACAACAACATACCTTTGAAGAACTTGCTAGGAAACGACTTTCTGGATCCCTGAAAGTTACCAGAGCAAATTAATTTTTGGACTCAAGACGTAATCATTCAACATAGACATGACATAGATCAAGACAAAGTAGCCTTAGTGGAACTGAAGAAGGACAGGAGCCAGGAAATGTAGACTTCAAATGTGGGCAAGTGTGATCTTTGCCCGTGAACTTTGACCCCTTAACCTTGACTGATGTCCACCAAAATCAAGAACTATATTCTATTATCGTACTTTGGTGTAAATATGAACTTAATATGTTTAGGAGTTCTTGAGATCTCTTGTGCACATGCTTTTTACTACTGACGGACAGATGCACTGACAAAGCAATTACTATATAGATGGGAGGAATAATAACTGGAATGTAACAATTACTATATAGATGGGAGGAATAATAACTGGAATGTAACAATTATGTTTTTGTCTGTGTCTGTTTTGCTCTATAATTTATGGACCAAAACATATTGGTTAGATTATACAGGGTGTCAGAATATGCAAGTATTATTTGTAAGTTTTCATTACTAATGAATTACAAAATTATGGTGGATTAGACAGGGGGTCCTTGTACAGAAGAGTTGTAATAGGCAGGGGGTCATAATACAAAGTAGTTGGATGAAACATGTCATAATACAGAGGGTCTGTATTATACATGGATTCACAATACAGAAGGATTGTATTAGGAGAGGTTTGTTTTACAGAGGATTTGGATGAAACAGGTCATAATGCAGAGGGTTTGTATTAGACAGGGATTCATAATACAGTAGGGTTGGATTAACAGGGTGTCATTTTACAGAATGGTGGTACTAAGCAGGGGTCATGGGTCATAATACAAAGGAGTTGGATTAAACAGGTCAAAGTACAGAATGCCTGTATTACACAGGGATCATAATAAAAAAAGCTTGGCTTAGAAAGAGAGAAACTTTGGAACAGACAGGGAATCTTAATACAGAATGGTTAGATAAGACAGGGCATCTTAATACAGAATGGTTAGATAAGACAGGGCAATTAATGTAAAAGATTTAGAGTATACAGGGAGTATCATACAGAAGGGTCTGATAGGCCAGGCTTCATTGTACTTAACTTGTGGCAATGAAGTGATTTAACAGTATTCAGGGGAATAACTTACAGATGTAAAGGTTTCCATGACAACCAGGTGATCCACTGCTTGTGTCCTACTAGTGTGTGTCCCAGCTGTTGTCCAGTACCTGGGTCCCACAGACATACCTGGCACATCAATTTAAAACCATACACAGTCCAACTTTGTTATTAGTTTATAAACATCTCCGAATGAAATCACTGTTTATCTTGAAGTCATCTTTTAGTCGCCTGGACCTGGTAGCTTACGTTTAATTCTTATAGAGTGAATGTTATTATCACTTAACTTTTATTTACATTATAGAACTGAAATCTGAGGAATATGTAAATTTCTATAAGAATAAAATATGTGTATCTAAATGTAACTGTGATTTCAAGAGTTTTGTTTGTTGTGTTCCTTACACGTTTGATATAATGAGGTTTGACTGAGTTTACCTAGATCATGAATACATTTAGATTGGCTCATCATATATCATATGATATAGTTCATCAAACCACAACTTTATATTAACAAGAGGCCCATGGGCCTTAACGGTCACCTGATATATTTATACTGAGAGTTGATTTTGTTTTTAACATGAACAGAAATATTATTCAAAGTGACAAAAAACAATAATACCACCTTACTCAATATCTAGCATACAGATTTCAGACTAAAAAGGATTTGAAACTAGCACCTCTTATTCTTAACAAGGAAAATGAAGAAATTTTAGCACACTGACTCCTTTGAGCCCCACCCTACAGCCCTTGGGGGTAGGGCTGGCTCAAAATTTTCAAAGTATCAAACTGTCAATTCAAGGTTATAATTCCAATCAAGTTATTAACATGTAATATTCAAAGTATCATTTGCCATTA